AAGCTGCCAAAGAACGCCAGAATGTCGAAACAGTTTCAGATGTAATTGTTTATCTTTGAAATTAATACGAGATTCGGACATCAAACGAACCATAGTTTCATGTACCTGATCCGTACGTGATCTTATAAATTGTTTCTGACTGCACCACAAGCCTTCAATTGCGTTCAGCTCCGAGTGAAACTTCGGACAGAAAATAACTTTCACTCCACATCTTTCACCTAGCTGTTCCAAACGTGAAGTCTAAGAGCGGAAAAAGAAAAAAACTTGCAAGTTCTGCGGCTCAGAAAAGAGTGAGGTATTTTGCTTACAGTATTAAAGATAGAATGGTCAGCTAACAGCTTTCGTAACTCATCGAGTTTTAAATTAGCGGATGTTGTCACTTTGAGTTCCCGTGCAATTTCCAGCAAACCTTTACTCTGTCCTTTGTGTGGTCCATTTCGAAAATAGCAATGGAGAGTTTGTTTTGTTCCCTGTGAATCAATAAAGTCGATACTGCCGACCGGACACTTCTTTCCAATTGATTTGGCAAAATCATTGAGAGAATATGCTTTTTCACTATGAGTGCGAGCATTATCAACGATACAAATGAATTCGTGATTTTTGAAATCACTTTTGAATTTAATTAGCTTGAATAGTCGTTCGAACTGTTGAAGTATGGTTGAGTTATCAAAGTAACTATCTTTGCCGACTTGAATTGAAGCTGTGGCAGAGTTTTCAAGATAGTCAATCCCAGACAGTTCGTCTAACTCTTGATAATTTTTGACAGCTTCCTTCCATTCTGTATCGTTCAAAGCAAAGAAAGGTCCCGAAGGATGCTGCACGAGAAAGTCCGAAACCATATTGGATCTACCGCGACCCTTACTGTGAAAGGGTGCAGTATCACCATAAAACCAACGTTTCGCACTGACCTCTCCCGATTTAAATGTAGATTCGTCACGAACTAATTTGAAAAAGAAGCAAAGGGAGACAGAATTAGAGACCTAGCTCTCAAAATCTTTCTTTGAAGGTTTTCTGGAAAACCTCTGCTCAATGATAGGTTTGATCACACAAATCTGAAACTTTTAGACTCTGCTGAACGGTTTCGAGTTGTCAAGTATTTTAGATATATAAGTTACTGTTCATCTCCTTAGTTTACATTTATTATGCCTCGGCCAACCAAACGTCACTCGCTTAACCAAAAACGTTACTCAGATAAGAATTTAGCAAGTGTAATTGACAGCGAATCGTCTGAGGAAGAGTTAGCGATGGAAGTGGATCAGAACGAAGATAAAGAGCCACTGAACTTCAAAGGCAAAGTAATGCTGAATGACATTTCTGATTTATTCGAGCTATGTCAATCCAAATGTCCCACAAAATATAACAGCTGTTTACTGTACATGGCTATGCGTCATTTGGGTCTTAAGTGGAACGATTGCCATAATTTTATGAAAGAAATTGGAGCCTTAACAACTCAGACTGCTCACAAAGGGACTAGTATATTTATTCACGGTGATTTTGACGAATTTTGTCACGAGAACAGAGGTGGCAAACGTAAAAGTGAATTCTACGATTCATTTCCTGAACTAGAAGAACAAGCAAAATTATTTACACTGGAGCGTTGTTCGAGAAAATCGGCAGATTTCACAGCTAATGACCTCGCTAAATTCGTTGATGACCAGTTTTATTTGATCACACAAACCGTGAAAGACGACGGTGCTCCGCTCGTTCGTTCTCCCGCATCCTGTCGAATTGATTTGCGCCGTTGGGGTGCTCGTTTCGAACAAAATGGAAATCGCCCTTATTCTGAGGGCCATGAGAGAGCCGATGTTATCGAACATCGTGTCAAATTTATCGATCATCGAATCTCGCATTAATTTCAAAGATAAACAATTACATCTGAAACTGTTTCGACATTTTGGCGTTCTTTGGCAGCTTAAAAAAGTGGACAAACCTATGAACAAGTCTTACGACTCTTTTTCAGTAACTTAGCTAGTGGAACAATACAAAAACATACTCGTATAAGTAATACGGCATTAAAAGATGATTGAACAGCTGGCGTGATTAGTTTGTGATTTCGTATGCTTTTCTTTATCTATTTTTGATCTCTTTCCAGTGTCATTTAATTCTGATTAAAAGAGAAGGAGTTTATTGAGCTGAATACCTTTACCTGCCAACTATTTTAGAACCTACGATCTTCGTTTTCGCACAAACGTGTCATTGAGAAGAGGTTTTCCAGAAAACCTTCAAAGACTCTCTAGGAATACTTTGGTGATCCTGTAAATGCCTTCATTAGATTTGTCGTTATTTTTTACTTAGAAATTCAAAATTTCAGCTCTGTTGGCTCAAAAATATCCGTTTTATTCGAAAACCGATCTTGACCGGGTTTCCGACCGGTTCCAGTAAAAGTCGAAAATCTCAGCAACGAAAATATTTAAAAAAAAACTCTCCATAGTTTTGTTCTACGCTTCAAGACGGATCGAATGACGTAAGAATCAAAGGTCCAGCCCTTCATGCAAAAAACTAGTAGGGTTTAC